TTGAAAATATTTTTAATAAACAATAGTAAAAACAAAAATTATTTTCTATATATTTTTATTGTTATTATTATTTTCATATTTTATAATTAATCATTTCCACTTTGATGTATTTGTTGTTTTTTCTTTTTTAATATTTTATTTTACTTCTGCATACAATATAATAATATATTATTATGAAAATAAATAATAAAACAGTAAAAATTGTTATTTTAACAGTATTATTGTTTGTACATCATAACACAATGATATTGAACAAAATTCTGTAAAATAAACTCAATATACAATAGGATTTCAGTTTGACAATACTAACCTATATACCTATATTACTTACATTATGTTCCACTATTATGGTTTTCCATTTAATTTATAAAAATATGGATCTGATTGGTTCCATATACGCAGATAAGTATGTTATTCAAATTGAGGTTATAAAGATAATGGAGAATGTTTAGCTATATATTGTCATTTTAATATTACCGCATTATTGTACTAATTATTACTTCATATTATAAAAAAAAAATGCAATGAAATTTAAAATGAAAATAGTCCTTCATTTCATATCTTGACCTTCCATTAGTAATAAGCACTCTATATACATGTAATATGTTATGCATGAAAATATTTCGTATAATATCTCTTTTATAAGCTGATTTTACGAAAAACGAGAAAAATAATAGAGTTGACCTTGTCAACTCTGTGATACCCGTACGAATTTGTTATCCTATGTGCGAATAACTAATGTGCCATAACTAACTATGGGGCAGACTATGACTTTAAGTCGCCGTATTACCATATTAATTTATGCAAAATTTCAGTACTATGTGTTTTTCAAAATACTGGTTGTGTCAAACAACTATTGAAGTTGTATGGCAGCTACCAGAAAGAGCCAAGAAATTTTAGCGAATTTTATCAAGTACATCGGCCCTACTAATATATTCACTTGTGTGAAATCTCAATATCACAGCTTTTATAGTTTCTGAGATATAGCCAAATAACTTTTGAAGTTGTATGGCAGGTACCAGAAGGAGCCAAGTAATTTCAACGACTTTTATGAGACACATTGGCCCTACTAATATATTCGTTTGTGTGAAATTTCAATACCACAACTTTTATAGTTTCTGAGATATAGCCAAATAAATTTTGAAGTTGTATGGCAGCTACCCGAACCGGTACCCCGATCATGTCCAATTTAAATAGGGTTCTGGCACTTACTACAATAAATCATTTGTGAAAATTTGGTGAACTTAGCTCAATTAGTTTTTGAGTTATCGTTCGGACGGACGGACGGACGGACGGACGGACGGACAGACAAAGCTAAATCAACTCAGAATTTGACGCTGATCAAAAACATACACTTGAGTCTATATCTAACACCCTTATTTCTTAGCGTTACAAACGGTAAGGCAAATTTAGTATACCCTTCGAACATACGTTCGTACGGGTATAAAAATTGTCATCAGTGATAAATTTTACTAAACGACTCTGATCCTTTATGAACTTTTCAAACGAACTACGACATAATATTATTGAATCCATAAGGTTTTATTTTTGAATTTTACTATTCATAATATTTTGAAATTTCATTTTCAATTACTTGAATCAAAAAATCTGATTGTTAATTTTCCAGCACAATACTAAAACCGGTATTCTATATCTTTCAAAATATTATTATATGGCAAATATTAAGTATTTTAAGTTCAAAATGAACATTTAACAAAGCGAAATTCAAATTGAATTAAGAGTAACTGGCAGTGATTCTGTGGAAAAATAATCTAATTCAAATTACTAAAAAACATTAACTCGAATTCTTTAATTCTATTAAATATTTTTTAAAGTCATTTAGGTATTAGTTTTAGAGCTACAAAATAATTCCTGGAATACTCCGAAAGAAACTTTGGAGTACTCTATTTATTTACTTTTAAAGGTAAAAACGATTTTCGTTGCCCTTGTTAAATAAAAGTTAAAGCTAATTGTTGTGCCGTACTTATATTTCCTTTATTTTATACGAAATAGATTAGTCCTCTACTGCAAATATGAAACTTAACTTTTTTGAATATGTTTAAATATAAAATTATTAATAAAAATAATAAAAATTATACATAAATAAATTTATTAATAAAATATTTTCTATTAATATCAAAAAATTTTATTAATTTTTTTATCGTGTGTATGTATTTTGTGTATATTATTGAGCAGAAGAAATTTTATTTATATTTGTGCTATAAATTCGGAACAAATATAAACGATATTACTATGGTCAACATAGAGTAAGAAAAATAATAATAATTATTTAATAAATAATTATTAATAATTATATTGAATTTTATAAAAACATCATAATCTACAGTAATGTCTTCATTTAAAAAACATAATAGTTATGTAATAGTATTATGTCTACACAACTGGTATTCTCGTAGAATATTTTTGATTTAAGTATTTATGTTGCATATTTAGAAATGAAGAAGTTGTCATTCGCGAAATATGAGAAAAATTTTAAAGGAAAAACGAAATTAATTTTAAATTTGTATTGATATTTTATTAAATATTAAAATATTGTCACAATTTATATAATCTCTTACGTATTAGCCTAAAAACTAATTAAAATTTTTAAAAATTTGATGCACTTACATCATCAGAAAGGAATTCTTTTAATTTTTGCATTTAAATACGGAAATTAAAAGATATCTTACGATTTCTGAAGAAGCTTATAAAAAAATAATGTCCCTGTTCTATTAATTTGTAATTATTAAAGTATTGAAGACTGATTATTAATGCTTTCAAGTCATGTTCACAGGGTATGTTAACAGAGTAAAATAATTTCAAGTCATTTTAACAGAGTAAAATAATTTAAATTTATTCTTGTTGACTTGCAGACAACAAGAAAAGATTAAAATAAACAGTTGAACAAACCCAAGCAAGAACTTTTTGTCAATTTGAAAATGTTAATATTAATTTTCGGAAGTTTAAGTGAAAATTTGACATTTTTGGAACATTAATGGGAAAAATGTAAAAAAAAACCTTATAGGTACTTATACCTAAATCTTATTGAACACTTTTGGGATGAAAATGAAAAAAAATTAAAGATATTTTTACTAACGCAGTTAAATTAAACAATTGATTAACTATTATTTTGATGTCCTTATATTTTCTCAAAAATATTCGTAAAAGGAGGTGTTAACGAAACATCCGGTCTTTTCGGAAATTTATGTTGAGGTTTTGCAAACATTACGGCTACGAAAATCTCTATTATGTTCGAAATTCTCTGAATATTTTTATTAAAATCTTTATACTTTCTAAATTTCATTAACATATTAAACAAAATAACAATAATAAAACTGACGGAATCTACCATACGAACTTCATAATTTCCTTTAATAACTTTTATAATTAAATATCTTTTTTATAATCAATAATAATTTTCAGTATTAGATTATAAGTTAAATCAAAATTAGCTTTTTCTCCGTATTCTTCTTTATCAGCATGTTATTTCAATACGAATTAATTTTAATCAAAACTTTTGATATATTAAACAATATTGTTGTGAAAAAACTATAATTAAATATTACTAAGTTCCATAGAAAAATTCTATTAGAATCCTTATGTACTCGTAGTTCCTATAATTAGTAGTAAAACGTACGTATACCTATGTATACATATTATATTATATATTATATTTTATTACTATGAGTGTTATTCTTAAGTTTACATAAGAATGTTAATGTAGTTATACAACAAATTCCTAATTTTCTTTTTTCCTTCATAAATTCCACTTACATATTATTTCTTTTTCTGTTGTAGTAATATACCTACCTTGTCCTAATATTGTTCTTCTTAGATGATTAAATAGATAAAAGTTTTTCACACAATAATACATAATAATAATAACATTCTTTAAAAAGAATATGAGTAGCTTGATAACGATTATTACTTCTTCTCTTTTATTTTTTTTCATTATACATACTCATATATTGCATATATTATGAAAATGTTTATGATGACCCCATTGAATGACATGGTAACTAATACGTATAAGAAAATATTTTAAAATTTGGTCCAGTATATTAATTCAAAATTGAACAATATTGTAAATAGATTAACAACTAAAATTTTTGTAATAATAGTAGCTTCTTTTCGGCAAGAAAAGCTCTGGGTAATTAGTTGTAATTCAAATTGTAATTAAAATAAAATTGACGGAATGTTAACTATCACTATAATAGTCTCATTTAACTGGAAAATGTTCAAAAAATTTAAAAATATAATAATATTGCTGTATGAATTTTTTTGACGAATTTTTGGAAAATTTTAAACTTAAATGAAAAAATTTCATAAATTATTAACGAAACCAATCTTGGCAAAAATTCATAAATGAATGAAAAACTTCCAGTAACTAAAGAAAAAATTTTTCCTTGAATTTTCTTCAACTATAGCAAGTGCGTTCAAATTTCAGAAATATTTATAATTTCAAAAATTTTCTAATAATTTTAATTGAAAAAAATTTCAGAAAATAGAAAAAATCTTCAGAAAACTATAAAATTTTAAAAATTTCGGCATAATGTCTTTAAAGTCGTTGAAACGAGAGTATATGCAAGGTGCATAATATTAAAAATAATGTAGTAAAAAAGTTCATAAGTTCCAAAAAATCTAATTTTATAGACATAGATTTTAATTCAAATTGAACAACTATAAGTAATAATTAAAGAGATCTTAGTTATCATTGTTCTGTTTGGGACCATCAATAAACATTTCAGTATATTATTTAAGAATAAAATAGCTATCTACATATATTTCTGTAGTATAGGACTATATTATTATATTAACAAACTTATATACACAAGTATAACAATGAAGACATAAAATAATATACTTGTTATATAAAAATATTTTGTTAAGGAAATATTCAATTTTTTTTCATAATTTTTTTTCTGCTTTTTCTTCTTCTTTTTTTTTTATTTTCTAATTTTATTTTATTTCTTATTAAAAATCCTTTTCAATCACATCAGAATCAGATATCCTGGATAAGAAGACGAGATTGGCATATATTATCATCAGGAGCTCAAATGTATACAAATGATGAACGGTTTGCGATATTACATACGCCAGGATCAAATACATGGACATTACAAATTAAATTTGTACAAAGACGAGATCATGGAATGTATGAATGTCAGGTAAGACCTTTTTTGCTATACTTACTTTTATATGCATACATATATGTTGTTATGTTATTTATATAGATAAAGTACGGGATACATACATAATATTTTCGCAATAAAAATCATTTTTACAGTGTTATTATTTTGGTGTTTTTTTTTTGTAAAAAATTTTCTTGTATATTATTCCACATGTCAAGGAATAAATCCCTTTTATTGTGCCATGTTTCATATCATATTTTATTATTATGCATATTATAGAACAATGAAATTTTTATCATTTTTTATTATAAATGAATTTCACAGTATTAAGAAAATATGTCCTTTTTTCGTCCTTAAAAAACAAAACGAAGAAAAAAGATTGGGTAAGATAAATTTTTTTTTTTGAGGAAAAACAAAAAATTTACTTGTATTTTTTTTGTGTTTTTCATCTAGAAATTTTTTCATTTGGAAATTTCATAAAAAGATAAATCATCACTGACGAATATTTTTTTCATGAACACGTGTTTAAAACTACATACACACATGTAAACAAATAATTTCGATTAATATATTTTACAAAATGTCACAATTCCTGACCTATTGAAATGTAAATTAAGATTATTTCCGGTTTACATAAAAAGAAAATGTTTTTAAAATATTTCATAAATTTATTTGAAGCATCCATTTTAATCTTAATAATTACTTAATTAAATAAGGTGCCCTAATAAATATAATTTATCCTTATTTTCAAGTTATACCACGTACTTGCTGTGAAGTTTGAGACACCTTATATACTTCCTTAAATATTTAGTTATATTGGTAAATTTCTGCCTATTTGTGTATTAACATACTATTGGTTATAATATAATTTGTCCTGTGTACATATTCCGTATTATATGTATGTATAAAATATTGTTATTCGAATGTAAAATTAGTTTAGAAAATTACTAAATAAAAGGATATTTGATTGGAGATATCAAAACCTATCGAGAAAATAATATTTCATGTATTTATTATATAAATAATATTTTGAAAGGATATTGAAATGTTATGAGAATCTTATAAATAATTTAGAATCTCATCATTGCTATTATAATATTGTAGTATAACGGTTTCATTTTTATAGGTATTTCTTCAATGTTTTGCCAGAATTTTTTGTCATTTCATATACACACTTTTAATATTTTTGGCAATAATTTATTTCTTAGATGATCCTTAAAATTTTTATCGAACAAAAATATTATATGAAAAAAATTTTGAAAAACTGAAAGTAATAATTGAAAAACTTGTAAAATTTTGGGTAGCAAAATTGTCGAACAAGTTGCGACCAAGTCACAAGTTAAAAATTTAATTAAAAACAAACAATGTTCTTTGGAATGTTTTAATTTTCTTGATGGTTTTAGGTCATGATATTGACATTCAATTAGAGGATGTCATTAATTTGATGTAGCGGCAATATTGGGTAGCTTTCTAAAGTTGAATACAATTTTAAATAGTAAATTTTTTAATCCCAACATTCGGTTAACGGATGACGCTTCGACTTGAGTGATAATACAATAAAAGTGTTCGAATATAAACTCATTTAAAAATATGAGTGTTCGAATTTGTTATAAATTTATTCAAAAAAGCGGAGCAATTGATATTGTGAAACACGTGATGATACACGAAATTAGATATATTTTTTTGAGCTCTAATATCGTTTGTCGTTTATAAATTTTTACAATATCTTATTTTCAGGTTTATTATTTTAGTGTAGACTATTTGATTTCAGATTTATTCATTAGCAGTTTTTTTTTGTGTTCATTTTTAGGATGTTAAAAAAGTTATCAAAATTTTTAGGCGGCTCAAGTTAGAAATTCATTCAAATTTGCGATCTAAGAGAAAAATTGCTTCAAAAATAAGCAAAAAGATGGTGTATTTTAAAGGATTAATATTCTTTAGCCTAACATTAATATGTATGGCATTTTTATGAACACAGTATATCGTTATATATAATATATATAGAGAAAAATTCTGCATTGTAACATTTTGTTTACTGTGAAAATTTCTATTTTTTTAAGTATAGAGAAGAAAAGTATACTTAGTAATCTGTCTTATGTTTGAGAAAATTTAGAAATTGCATTTGATTGAAATAATATAGCAACAAATAAGTCATTTTTTAAAAAAATTTTTTATGCGATGTCAAATGCATAAGAGTTTTCTTGCACTAAGAATTTTCACAAGTTTATAATTTAACGACTTAATATTATATCATCAGCATATTATCGTTAATGATATTATATATTATGTACCTAACATATACTAACACCACATTTATATATACACAATGTACATAATATTATGTAAATTTCAATAATTTTTGACTCATATATTTTACTTTTTTTTTATTTCTGCATAAAAAATTTTATTAATTTGTCTCATGCTAATTGAATGTTAAGCTTTTAAATTAATAACATTTTCATTCCTTTTCGGATTTTAATTGGAAAACTTTTAATTATTATATTAACTTCAAAAACACATACACACACATACACAATAAACTGAAAACTTTTTCTATTTTTTAATTTTTTCTTTCATAATTTAAATTTTTCCTTCTCCCTTTCACCTATTTGAAATTTATTTCCAAGAAAAAAAAATAGTTTTTCACCCTTATAATTTCTTAAATTTTCACTTATCCTTTTCATTTACCCTTTTATATTTAAAAAGAAACAAAGAAAAACAGAAGCAAAAAAAACCCGCTAAAAAAACTATATGGGAGAATGAAAACCAAAATTAAAAGTCTAAATAAATCTTTCTTTTTTCCTGCTTTCTTTTGTTACATAACCGCATATCATAATTACAAAAATTTTCTACTTTTATCCACAATCCACAATCCACAGTATAAGTTTCTCTTGCAAAAGCAACAAAAACTAAGAAGAGTAAAAGAAAAAGTAAAAGAAAAGTTTTAAGATTTCATACTTTTAACTTTGTTGTACCTAAAAGAGTCGTTGAATACATTATTTGCGTATGAGTGTGTTTGAATGAGTTTAGATAGAACAAGGGATTTGAGGAAAACAAAAACTAAATAAAATAATGGAATAAAATTAAGTAAAACTTTTAATTTTCTAATTTTGTTTTTTCTGTTTTTAATGATGGCGAATACTTATGTGATAGTACTGAAACCTTAATGTAAGAATATTTTTTTCAGAGCAATTCAACTCTTCGTATAAAGAATGACTCTTATAATATTATGGTTAGAAAAATGAAAGAATCTTTACAAAAGCAATTAATCATTGAAACTTTAATTTTTTTTTTAAAGTCCAGTTCATTTTTTTCTTTCATTTTGAAAAAGACAACAACAACAGTAACAAAGAAAATCAGTACATATTATATAATATAAGTTCAAAAGGATTTTTTTTATTTCTGTTTTTATAATAATAATCCTGCGTATTTAATTACCACCGCTGTGTGTATTTTAATTAAAATGTGCGAAGTAATTCTTACAGAGAACCTCATTTTGTATATATTTTTTTCATTCTCTTATTGTTATTTTTTTAACAGTTTTATTCCGTATATAAAATGGTGTTATTCCCCAGCGAATATTTTCTTTAAGATCTAAAAAGCTTATAAGTATTTTAATTTTCTTTTATTTTTTTGTTTTTTCGTAATTTTCTTAAAAATCATTATTTGTCTTAAATTTTTTTTCCTTTATTTTAGAGGACAGCAAAGAACAAGAGAAAAAAAAGAGTTATTTTTGTTGTGTACACTATAAGAGAATTATATATGGAAAAGTTTTCAAAAGAGTATTTCGATGCAAAGTTATACAGAAGAAAAATAAAAGGATAATGAAGTATCCTTTTGTATAATACCCTTTTTTCCAATTCTGTAATACATATAAAATGGTGTATACAATAATGAATATTATATGGCCTATTCAAAATGATGATGTAAGCACCCAATATTATGGTTGGTTTTATGCTTTGATTTTATTAAATTTCCCTTTATATACTTATAGCGTGGTATGTAAATGACTTGTCCATTTCAAAGAAAATTTATACATGATTTAAAATTAAATAGAAGAAAATATTATTGTTTGTATGGGTGTCAATTTAAATTCTTTTAATTTCTAGAAATTTTTTGTAATCGAAAAATTTTTGCTCTACATTTTTCTACATTTAATTTCTTATTTTATTTTTAAAGAATCGTTTGATCCTTGTAATCCATTTGTAATGTTATGTATTAGATATTAATAATTTAAAAGATTACTTAATTTTTTCTTAATTAATATTATAAATATTTAAAAACATATTTTGGTTTCTTTCCAAATCCTTGCTTTATTGCGATTCATTGAATTTTTAAAAATTAAAATGAAATTCACAGGAAAATTAGATTTTATTTTCTATAGTTTTTTTTTACAGTAGAATAAAAAATTTTATTTTTATAAAATGAAATGCTTGCATTTAATATTAAGAATAATGAAATAAGAATAAATCATTTTCGAATCAGATTATTCTAACACTTGCTTAATATAACTAAAATTATGCAGAATTTTTCTAACTAATTAATTATTAGTTTACGAGTATAACAAAATTGGCGAAGTAACATTTCAAGGATATTATTGATAATTAGCGTTTCCTGATGATTTTTCGAACCTGATTGCTTGTTATTGCAAACATAATAACTCTGGTCCCAAAAAGTATAAAAGTAGCTTCCGAGGTGAAAGTACTTTTGTAATATTTAGGTATTAAAATAAAGAAAAAATGTTTTAAATTTAACAGCCAGTTTTGAAATTATAAAATTTTATATTTTATGCTAATAGAAGTGTTTGTTGTCTTTGTTATCACTCATTCCACCATAACGGCAATTATTTCGCATAAATATTCATTAAAATATTTGTTATATTTTTCTTATTTGGGAGGTACCCACCCTACCACACCAAACAAGAAGACATTAAAAGTACAAAAAAAAAATATTTTTTAAAACATAACAAAAGAAACTTTAAGCAGGAAATAAAAGTGTTCAACACCGTTAACTTGAATACATTTTGGAAAAAATTT